GAATGAAAGCGATTTTTAAAAATATAAGATGTGACTTTTTTAAAAAATTGATATTACAGTGAGTGCAATTTCTATTGATATTGATTTATTGGCCGAGCTTATACTGATCCTTGACCAGTACCCTTTGAATTTTCTGTATAATAGGTCATGTGCATGATCAATAAAATAGGAACGTTCATCACTTCATATTCCCGCATGAATTTTACAGTCATTGTGACCACAATTGCATCAAAACGATACACTATTATTCTCAATCGAGAATGCAGTGTTCTGTTCCCATGGTAACGGCACGCTTCCACACTAAAAGTCACAAACATGATGATTGGTAACTTTTAGTCATTTCACATTCTTTAATCTCTTCCACAGAATCGCCACGCTCATGTCATGATAGTCGCATTTAAAAACATTCAACCGGGTATGGTGTATTCTGTTGCCATGGTAACAGGCTGGGTTTCACACCAAGTCACATGTACAAGTACATGATTAGGTGGTAGCTTTCACCATTTCAATATGATTATATCTTATTTACAGGTGATTATTTCATTGTGATAATAATGATAATAGCTAGTTCTCGGACAGTGTGTTCCGTTACCGTGGTAGTCACATTTCACCATTAAAAGTCAAGAACATGACAACCATGTGTAACCTTTAATCATAAAAGTTCCTATTTATATACACATCATTAGAAAATGTGATTAGGCAATTCATCGCCCGAGTGCACGCATCTTGTTACCATGGAAGCACAACATGAACTTTTCAGACCAAATGAGGGGAAGTGTTACTTAGTGTGCGAAATGTACTTTTAAGAATGAAGATTGGTTGTATTTTATTGACATGCTGAAGGTGCTCACCTGTCATGTCCGCCTTCAGGGCCTCTGCCCAGCCTCATACATGTTCTTGAACTTCCGCTGAATGTTCCACATAGACAACATGGCCGCCACCGTGAGGACTCACCATTGGATGGAACCAACTGAGCGGCGTGCCGGTAGTATGACTCGGCCTGGCTGGTCTGGTTGCGGTAGCGAGCTGAAAGTAGCAAAAGAGGAGAGAATGTCAGACGCCATCTTCATCGGCACTGGGCCTGTGTCGCTCCTCTTCCTCACCAATGTCGCCCAGGTGCACCAGGCAGTGCTGGCAGATGTATGAGCACGAGCTGGGCTGCGGCGGCACGATGCCATGATCCGGATGAGACTCTCAACTTTGTTGCGCCCAACAAGTATGAGGTAGGCTGACATGAGAACATCAGTGTTTTTGTACCATTGTGTTCCGTACGGAATTAAAGCTTCTTTAAATTGATTTTTTTTTCTCTACTCGGTGAAAACAAATCAGTCTCGAAAAAATATAATAACGTTATTTCTATTTCACAAGATGCATTTTGCTAAAAAAAAAAAAAAAAAAAAACGAATACCAACAAGTTGAGATGCGGAATTAAGCGCAAAAAGCTTGCAACCTATCCAAGCAGCAACTCATCTGAACTTCAGCTCACCTGAGTGTAGAAGCCGCTGGCCGCCTCCAGGAACAAGGACAGATTGGCCTGCACCTCACTCCGATTGGGGTTGGCCCGGTTCTTGGCTTGGCTTTGCAAGGTGGTGATCTGGTTCTTGAAGGCGTGGTTCCACCTACAAGGACAGATGACACGTGAGTTAGTTGCGGTCACGAGCGTCCGAGGAGCGACAGGGGCTTGGGAGGAGAGATGAGTGGAGGTCACTTACAGGTCCTGCTCCACCTTCTTGTCCAAGGCGTACTCCAGGTCCGTGACCAGCATTTTCTGGTACAAGTCCTGCAAGGCCTGGCGGGACGTCCACGCCTCAGCCGCCGCCAGCTTAGAGTCTGCACCGTGCAAACACATGTGCGCCAATTCATATTTATCCATAGTAGTGCGACCAGGTGCGGTTACCATGGCAACTACAGACTTCCACACCAAGTCATATGCACGATGAGGAACTTGACAGCACTTCATTTTTTTTTTTTACTATTCAAAATAAAGATCTGGAGGAAAAAAGCTGAATGAAAGCGATTTTTAAAAATATAAGATGTGACTTTTTTAAAAAATTGATATTACAGTGAGTGCAATTTCTATTGATATTGATTTATTGGCCGAGCTTATACTGATCCTTGACCAGTACCCTTTGAATTTTCTGTATAATAGGTCATGTGCATGATCAATAAAATAGGAACGTTCATCACTTCATATTCCCGCATGAATTTTACAGTCATTGTGACCACAATTGCATCAAAACGATACACTATTATTCTCAATCGAGAATGCAGTGTTCTGTTCCCATGGTAACGGCACGCTTCCACACTAAAAGTCACAAACATGATGATTGGTAACTTTTAGTCATTTCACATTCTTTAATCTCTTCCACAGAATCGCCACGCTCATGTCATGATAGTCGCATTTAAAAACATTCAACCGGGTATGGTGTATTCTGTTGCCATGGTAACAGGCTGGGTTTCACACCAAGTCACATGTACAAGTACATGATTAGGTGGTAGCTTTCACCATTTCAATATGATTATATCTTATTTACAGGTGATTATTTCATTGTGATAATAATGATAATAGCTAGTTCTCGGACAGTGTGTTCCGTTACCGTGGTAGTCACATTTCACCATTAAAAGTCAAGAACATGACAACCATGTGTAACCTTTAATCATAAAAGTTCCTATTTATATACACATCATTAGAAAATGTGATTAGGCAATTCATCGCCCGAGTGCACGCATCTTGTTACCATGGAAGCACAACATGAACTTTTCAGACCAAATGAGGGGAAGTGTTACTTAGTGTGCGAAATGTACTTTTAAGAATGAAGATTGGTTGTATTTTATTGACATGCTGAAGGTGCTCACCTGTCATGTCCGCCTTCAGGGCCTCTGCCTGTCTGCTTGTCAACACAACAAGAGAGCAGCTAGTTAAACAACACACTTCATCCTCCCAATGACGTCAGCGGCTAAGCGTCATTCAAATGTCGTGGTGACGCTAAAGTCCCGGGCAGGTAGCGCAATGCGTCGTGCAGTTGCAAAATAACAACAACCATCTGTCAAGAATTTGGATAACTCACACCCGTGACGTCACACAACCTTGCACGACGACAATGTTAGCAAAAAGCTAAATCTAGCACCGTGGACAAGTGACGAGTTTCATTTCTCTGACAAAGATGCTCGAGTGAAGGTGACGTTTGAAGGTGTGGCCCTATTATTTGCGCAAAAGTTACTTTATCCGCGGACTGTGACGACATCGACTGTTTGTTGATGTTGTAAGCTAGCTAGCCGACGCTAGCCTTAGCCTTAGCACGCCACGAAAACAACAGCGAGCGTCGCTTCACAGGTCACTTACAGTTACTCGTCATGTCGTGTGTGTCGGTATGAAAGGCCGCCAGCACGACCTACCGTAAAAAGTGCGCGCAGAGGCTCATCGTGACAGCTCGCCCGCGTTCACGCTACGACGAGCTCACGGGCTAACTGCGCGAACGCCGCCACCATATTGTTGCTTCCTGTTGGCCTGCCTGTCTGTCTGCACGCGGGCGGGGGGTGTACGGGGGAAGCCGGGTAGCTTCGACACTTTCCGGAAACATTCGGCTCAGCACGAAAGAACCGAAGTCGGACCGAAACGACAAAAAATGCTTTAACAAGAAAACAATGCGTAACATAATGAAGTGTCTTTCGTTTGCTACTTTGATCGTTTCGCTTTAATCACACCACTCACACGCCAATCTATTCGTCTTATTTCGGACAAAGCTGACGAGCGTTCAGTTTACAAAGCGCTCACAAATCGGTTGCGCTTTCGCTGCTCGCCTTTCTTCTGTCGGAGCGGTGCAGCTTCGGCACTTATCGGAAGCGTTCGGCTCAGCACGATAAAATGACCAGAATTAAAATACCAAACGGAAAAAAACACAGATTTAATAAAACAATGCAATGTGTAATATAATAATGTCACATGTTTGATATTGTGATCGTTTAGAATCATTTACACCACTCACGTCAACATACTCCTCGAATTTAAAAGATGAGCCTTCAGGTTATACGACGAGCTGATCGGTGGGGAATTTCGGCACATTTTTAATCGTGGATTGTTTCCTTGTTAGGTGTTAGGTGTTAGGATTTCTTAGAGGCCCCCAAGAGAGTGCCATACTGCCTCGTCAAGGGAAAGTATCCACCAGGCAGGGCTCCAGGATTTTTTCCTCTCCCCGGGAATAAACGGGGGCTTGACCGATACAAAGCGGGGCTCAGAAAATAATTTCTAAACTTATTTACAGGGATTTCTGACGGAGCTGTAGTGTCCCCTCGTCCCAGTGTAGCGCCACCCTTGGTATCCTCAGTGGAATTCCCTGGTTCTTATAAGATTTGCAGGTGGTGTTGTCACTAAATCATATTCTTATCTGATCAACTTGTCTTTGAGTATTTAATACAAAAAATAGAGGGTACGGTGGAATTCCCTGGTTCTTACAAGATTTGCAGGTGGTGTCTTTGAGTATTTAATACAAAAAATAGAGGGTACAAAAGCTATGGTTGAGTAGAAACAGCAGTACAACCCAGCACCTCTGTCTCCCTGGGTGACCCCCGCCCTGCCGCCACCTCATGAGATAATGGGTTATAAATCAGGCCCAGACCTGGCTGCCCCGGAAGAGTGTTCCTATGTGATTGCATTATTATTTCGTGTCATAACGGCTAATTTGTGTGTGTGTCCTAGTGTGCTGTGAAAGCTACACGATGAGACTATATCTTATACACTTAACTTCTCCTGATAAATTTTACTTACAATTTCTAAGTGAATAAAATGTGCTGTGCGGTATTTTCAACTAAGCATCACCTCAAATTACACAAATTCCGATTCATATCATTCAATAGTGTTCCGCATTTCACAAATCAGCATTCACGAGTAATTTCGACCACAAATACACTGAAATTAATTAAGTGAAGAGGGACAACAACTTTTTGACCCCTTTCACGCTCGCTCTCCCCTGATCACGTGACCAGCGTGCCTGTGAAAACAGTGACGCCACTTCCACCCAGCATCCTGCCGCAGACTGGGCGACCTCGCCTCTCGTTCTGCGTCTGCTGCCGCCACACAACCCAAAACTAGAACCAGAACCGGAACCGCGACAAGAAGCGGCCATGCCAGAAACCAGCAAAACTCACGTGATCCTGCTGTCGTGCGGCAGCTTCAATCCCATCACCTATGGACACATCCATATGTTCGGTAAGAGCTTGTGTGGGAATGGCACGTTGCGACGTCACAATGAAAGAAGAAGAAAAAAAAAACACCGCCCACCACCGCCTTGCTTTTTGTTCTGGTCGGCCGCGCTCGTCGCTGTCCAGCGGTCCGGTGCTGAAACTGAGCGTTCTTGAGCTTTGCTCGCGTCGAATGAGTCGGGTTGAGTGAGTGAGCTATTGCCGTGAAGGTAGGCAGGCAGGCCTTGAGAACAACGCAGCCTCAACCCCACCCGCGATGTGACGCAGCCCACAAAACAACAAGCTCATCGTCATCGTCTTCAAAATAGGAACATAACAACGAGTAGATCATGAACACATTCATTCATTTTTTAAAATCATATTTAAATGAATCCCTAGTTTGAAATGTCCTCGCTTTCTTGCCATCTAAATACTTAGACCAATATCTCAAAGGTTTTAAACTCTTCAACATAGTGACGTGGAAAATTCACGAGTTGGCTCGCACCAACGTCAAGGTTCAAAATAATAGAGATGTACACGTCACTATAAACAGCCCAAGAGAAAGGAACCAAAAAAATAACTTAAAACACAAAACACATATAGACAGGAATGAACATAAACAAGTAATACGAAGTAACGTGCACATCATTCATTCATCCAAGCCACTTGCAAAAGGACAAAATGCCTGCTTGCATTTCACTGCTGTCACCCTGGCACCCACCATTTCACGATTGACACTAAGTCACCACCCACTCAAATGTATTCTTAAAAAAAAAAAAAATGCCTTTGAAAATATATTGCACATTGTAAATGTACACGCTCTCATGGGAGTAAGGTTCTAATTACTCTTGATAGGGTATTTGTATGAAAAACATAAAAATCAATGTTGTATGCAGTCCTAAACCGAAGACCCTCTTGAATTTTTTTACTACCTGCCCGCGAACCACCAGTTAAAAATAATTTCTTCAAAATGTTTGCTCGCGTCGAATGAGTCGGGTTGAGTGAGTGAGCTATTGCCGTGAAGGTAGGCAGGCAGGCCTTGAGAACAACGCAGCCTCAACCCCACCCGCGATGTGACGCAGCCCACAAAACAACAAGCTCATCGTCATCGTCTTCAAAATAGGAACATAACAACGAGTAGATCATGAACACATTGATTCATTGAAAAGAAAATCATACTTAAGGTAATCCCTAGTTTGAAATGTCCCCGCTTTCTTGCCATCCAAATTCTTGACGAATTTCTCAAAGGCTTCAATCTATTCCGACTTCAACACAGAAAATTCACGAGTTGGCTGGCATGAACGTCAACGTTCGAAATAATAGACGAGATGTACACGTCACTATAAACAGCCCAAGAAAAAGGAACCGAACAATAACTCAAAACACAGAACAGATAGACAGTAATAATGAATATAAACAAGTAATACTCAGTAAAGTTCATTCATGCATGCCACTTGCAAAAGGACAAAATGCCTGCTTGCATTTCACTGCTGTCACCCTGGCACCCACCATTTCACTATTGACACTAAGTCACCACCCACTCAAATGTATTCTTAAAAAAAAAAAATGCCTTTGAAAATATATTGCACATTGTAAATGTACACGCTCTCATGGGAGTAAGGTTCTAATTACTCTTGATAGGGTATTTGTATGAAAAACATAAAAATCAATGTTGTATGCAGTCCTAAACCGAAGACCCTCTTGAATTTTTTTACTACCTGCCCGCGAACCACCAGTTAAAAATAATTTCTTCAAAATGTTTGTCTATGAAACATCATATGCATCTGTAGATAAAACACACTCGAGCTTGATGTCAAGTTTGTTTGTTCCTGCATACAACTTTATTTATTGTGTGTGTGTGTGTGTGTGTGTATGTGTGCGTGTGCACAGAAAAGGCAAGGGACTATCTGCACAAAAGTGGCCGTTTCATCGTGATCGGCGGGATCATTTCGCCAGTGCACGACTCATATGGAAAAGCTGTGAGTTGGCCTCCTGGCCTTAAATTGTCGCTGTTGTTGTTGACCGGGAGGCAGGATTCTGCCAGAAGCCTGAAATCCAAAACCTGTGTCGGGAATGAGTCAAGTTAATCGAATCGTGAGATTCATATCGTAATGATACCATCTCGTGACGTCTGGCTGTTGAATCGTCTGTAGTATTTAGGAGACTTTTGCGGATTATATTGACCCTTTTCAGGGACAGCGGTTACTACAGTGGACAGATTGTCATGTTATCAGGTTACAGGTTATCATTATTGGTGCATGAAAGGGTTAACAGGGACTGTCAGTAATACGTTGAAATTGGCACACAAAATCCAGGAAGCATACACCGGAGCGCCACCTGCAGAAAACATGTCCCATGCTCCACGATGATGTCGCACTGTCTGTGTGTCCGTCAGGGTCTGGTGTCCAGCAGGCATCGTCTGACCATGTGTCAGCTGGCCGTGCAGTCGTCCGATTGGATCAGGTGAGTGGTGTGATAGGAAGCCAGCCAGTGCCGCTGCCTGCTCTAACGTCTTTCCTGTGGCCGCAGGGTGGACCCCTGGGAGTGCTACCAGGATACATGGCAGACCACCTGCAGTGTCCTGGAGCACCACCGAGACCTGATGAAGGTGACGCTTCTTTTTTTTTTAATTTTTTTTTTTTTTTTTACATTCAATCTGCCCCCTTGTCTTCTTAACCTTTGCAGCGCCCTTATAAACATGTCCGACCACGCTTGTTTTGGGTTCATCATCAACAGTCGCCGGGCTGAAAGTCAAGCTCACTGTTAGCTTATTTCACTGGATGTATTCGTATGGCAGTAACTTCAGATGTTTTTCAGTGCTTTGAAGAGCGTTTAGGTCACGGTGAAGAAGTATTTGTGTGGAAAATGGTGATGGTTGATGGTTGATGTTTGCATGGGCGGATGTTAATTTTTGTTTGAAATGATGTCGTTGTCTCCATAGCGAGTGACGGGCTGCATTTTATCAAACGTCAACACACCATCGTCGACTCCCGTCATCGGTCAGCCACAGACACAGGCTCCGCCCATTTACCAGAACCACAACAACTTGAATCACAAGACCACTTCCGGTAAGTTTTTGGCCGTCCCCGCGAACATGACGATGAAGATGAGGATGACGAGGAATTTGTGGCTCGCAGTGAAACTTTGGGGAAAGCTGAATGAGAGTTTGGCCAAAGTTTGCTGTGTGCGTCCTCACATGGAACGCTTTACCTTCATTGGTGAGTGGCGACACGCGAGCCTAACTCATTCGCCTGCATGCCCGCATATCACTGACATTCATGTTTCTGGCATCAGATGAAAACGCCAACTTAGGACCTGCTATGACATACGAGGAGATCGGTGAGCTTTGCGTGTGTGTGTGTGTGTATGTGTGTGTGTGTGTGTGTGTGTGTTTACACTGATTTAAATGGTGTGTTGAATTTACTCAATTTTATTTCGTCAAGTGGTTGCACAAAATAAAATCTGTATCCAGATACATTTTTTAAGTCGACTCACTATACATCAACTGAAAAAAATGTATCCACCATTTTTTTTCCAGTGTATCCAGTAAAAGGTGTGCTTTACTGAAGGTGTGTCTTTTTCCTTTCTACCTACCTTCCTTCCTTCCTTCCTTCCTTCCTTCCTCCGCCCACTCGCCCGCTGTGGTGTGTAGAGTTGCGCATCTTGCTCCTGTGTGGAAGTGACCTCTTGGAATCCTTCTGCATTCCTGGCCTGTGGAAGGACAGTGATGTAAGCGCCCCCCGTCATCCTGCCCCTGCCCCCCAACAAGCTGCTGCTGACTCCTCTTCACCCAAACCGGCACTCGCTTATCCCCACACCTTTCCCACCCCAACTGTCATTCCCATGTTGCACTTCTTCTGGGCAGAGGAACCACTCGACACACATTTCAAGCACACGCAAATATGAGTTTGACTTCAAAACAAGTCGGCAATGGGACTTTAACACAAGCAGCTGACTGGACATTGAAACACACACAAATTATCTCACAAATGACTAACACAACCCCCCTCACCGAAATTTGGAGCAACATCAATTTAACCTACAAGCACGTAAAATAAAAACACCGCAAAAGTGAGTGAAGAAACTTTTTCAAACGTCTTAAAAAGCAGCCACGCAAGCACTGGAATGTTGCCACGGAAACAGAAGTTGTGATTCTTGTTCTCGGGAGCAAATCAAATCAGCAGTCAGCGTGTTTGCAGATGGAGGTGATCGTGGGTGACTTCGGCATGGTGGTGGTCCCTCGTGACGGCGCTGACACGGAACGGATCATGAAGCAGTCATCGGTGCTGCGCAAGCACCAGGTTGGCAGCATCCCACTTCTTCTTGCGCTTTGGGGAACGTGTGCAGATGTGCCAGGTTAGTCTGCTGTGACCAAACACCAACTTTGTTTGATTTGCCGTCTGCTCTCAGGACAACATCGTGGTGGTGACGGATGACGGCAAGCATCCCATGGCGAAGGTCAGCTCCACTAAGAGCAGGTGAGATCGTCGCCACCTACGCGGACGGATGTATGAACAGTTAGCTTTTATTTTGAAGGAGGAGGAAGTGATGTGTTGTTGTTTTTGTGCACAGGCTGGCGCTGCAGCACGGCGACGGCCATGTTGTGGACTATCTGTGTCAGCCGGTCATCGACTATATCCTCAACACGCAGCTCTACATCAATGCTTCGGGATAGGTGCCGCTCGTAGTGCTGCGCGAACATGTCTCCCGCTCGCTTTCACAACGCATATTCAGTGCAGTGAACCCTCACCCATGCCCCTCGCCTCGACGTTCCACATCCACTCGCATCACACCAGAGCCTAAAAAGCAACTTTTTCGCCCTTTCAACACATTGACATTCAGCATACATACTTCAACTTTTTCCAAGTATCTCTTTGTGCCTCTTCTCCAAATGAGAGGCACAGCGTGCTTGCCTCAAGCTGTTTATTTGCCACGGCAGTTGGTTTACTGAAAAAAAAATGGACAAATATAAGAGAAAGACAATTAACCATTATGTATTTAAATACCTACGTGCTCAACCAAACCATATGATGAAGTTGAACCAAAGTTCATTAGCTTAATGCTAACATTAAATGGAAAACGCGATAGAGAGGCTGACGGAAATGATCATTGACATTATGGTAGCTCTAAACCTTTAAAACATTGGCCACTGTATGTCCGGGCATATTGCCAGACATCATAATCTACAAAGGTTGCCAGTTGAGGCAACTGAAATATTTTTGTTGAAAAAGTTTCACCTTCAGTTTGAAATTTTAGGCCTAACTCACGCAAACAGAGCATCTACACATACAAACAGCATTCAACAATACTCACTGACATATATTTTCTCTGCTATAGGGGACCCTCTTTGACTCTTCGTCTTGCTCGTAATTACGGCACATGTCTTTGGGTGTTGCTCAGTGCTGCCTCACATGTTGTGGCACAATGTGGTACTGCACTTAACACAACTCCAAACTCGATCCTGCCTGTTAACTGTAAAAACCGGTAAAATGAATTTGCTTCAAATGTGTAACATAGCGGAGTCCATGGGGGATAAATGGCAACTAAGTGGGGGTTCACTGTAACTGCGGGACTGATGCACACGCACGTGTGCGTGCGTGTGTGTGTGTGTGTGTGTGTGTGTGTGTGTGTGTGTGTGTGTGTGTGTGTATTTCATGGGGCAGGGATGGGGGGGGCTTCACTTTGGCGCCACTTCTTGTTTCTCATCCAGTCAGCAGATGCATGAACCCACAGCTGATTAGGAACTGTACAGTTTGTGCCCACATACACCCATTTTGAAGTCAATTAGCGTGTTCGCCATCGCTTGCTGCTCGGTTGAAGCGATTGGTAGTAACAGCTCCCCCTATTGGATGTCAGTGGAGACCCTGAACTGGGCTTCTCTTCATATAGCGTTCACGTTGATCCTTAAAGGCGATATGTTGTGCTTTTCCTTCCCAATTCAAGAGAGTTCAATGGTCTGGTCTGCTCTGTGGCATGCCTTCAGCAAAATAGGCCAATAATGCAACACTTTTTTGACAGCAATTTTATTTTAAATAGCGTATTTCTTGCCACTGTAAAATTGACTTGTTTTTGCCCTCATCCCGTCCTCACATACTGCTCAACCAATGGTGAGCCCTGCTTTCATTGCGATGGCAACAAGTGGGCTGGATCTTCTATATTGTGCACAATATGGCCCTTTTAAAACATTCCGCGTAAATTTAGAGGAATTTAGGACTCTGAAGCTTTTTGACAAAGATCCACTTTTTTCAAAGTATGGTAGTACTGAATGGATAGTTTTTCAAAGTAAAAGCTTCAGTGAACGGATGGCTTTTCAAAGTGAAAGCCTGCGTGAATGTCTGCTTGTCAGTGTCGGTGTTGACTGTGCAGCATGTTGACACTCTGCTTGTGCTTGTGGCATGACTTCGATCGATTTATTAAAATTCAACACAAGAACAAACGCTTGGTCTGCAGCCTTTTATTCAATGTCAAACCAATCGTATTGATCACGTGACAATCGATCGGCTCACATTTCAGCAGAAGAGGTATGGACACGTTATTGTATAAATAGAAAAATAGGAAACACAAGGCAAGAGACTGTGGGCGTGCGTGTCTTGGCTGTCGGGCGGAAGGCTCTCATCTCCAAAAGCACCCACCTCCTCAGGAAATTCAAAACATGAGCCGTTTGTTCAGTTCCCAAACATTTCATTGAAATTCGGACGCTATTTTTAACTCTTGAACTCATGACATCATTAACTCACGTTTCCATTTGTCAACTGGAAGCCGATGAATGTATTTTCCAGTTTTCAACGGGTTAGCACGGAAGAGGCTCCCACCCAGCTTGTCTGTAAAATTTTGGCTGGTAAACCACTGTAATGACCCACACGTCCATAGATATGGCCGTGAAGTGGAATTAAGATCAGCACAGCCTTTGAGTTGAAGATAAAGATTAGGAGATGAATCTCAACTTCTCACGTCAATGAGGGAGCGAAATGGCCACATCTCGGACAAACTGAGCCACCTCACACGCCAAAGGAGTATGGATATGTATGTGTCGCGATGATGAGAAAAGTAGACAAAACACAGAGTGAATGGCTTGGACTATGTAAAAAAAGCCAGTGATGCTCGGAGTCAGCGTCGGTCACGGCCCAAAATATATGAGCATCTAGGTCACTGTTGTTTATTTTCACAAAAGCTGTTTTTCTCTGCGTTTTGGTTGGAAAGCTGTGTTTTGTGTGAAAACAAAACAACCCATGTTCTACTGCTGAATAGCTTTTAAATAGTGTCTTTTTTTTTTGTTAGGTTTCTAAATAAAATTGTAGAAGACTAAATTATGTGGGCCTTGACAGATTAGTCTAAATGCTCTAAAATGGCTGGCAGCAAATCAGATCATAACAGCAGCAATGTGTGCCATAATTTAGAGCACGCGCCCGACGGCAAGGACAGGCCTGTGTAGGCTGTGAAAAGGGAAGGAGATTCCCCCAAGGAATGTCACGTGGATACATTTCAGGGCTTCTCGATGGGGGGGCTGTTGAAGCATCCTTCGGGCACGGTCGCCAAGATGTCCTCCAGGTTGGCGATGTCCCACAAGATGGTGTCGATGTCCCTGTTTAAGAGGGCCAGTCGGCGGCGCTGCGCCGCCTCGCGGGCAATTGCGTCTCTCAGCTGAGGCTCCAGATTCGTCTCCACGTTTTGCCGGGTCGCCGCCAGCGATTTTTCCAGCTCCTGAAGGCGGCTCGGGTCAAATGTGCCCGGTTGGTCTGTGGGCCGGTAAGAAGGTCAGAGGTCGCAGCGCTTCTTAAACTAGGCAGACACACCTGCGGGGGACCGTGAGCCCTTTGGCACATAATTAAAAAAGCTTGCCCCCCAATTAGACAACAGACCGCTGCTAAGCGCTCCATGGCCTCCAGAGGGCGCCAAAAGAGTGCCAATTCCAATGTAAAGCAATGGCCAGTGTCTCCAACATCTATCTATCTATCTATCTCTAGAGAGAGAAAGAGAGAGAGAAGCAAATGAGATTCGGGCTTCTTACTGATGTTAACCAGACCGGCGGCGATGTCTCGGAGCATTCGTCCTACAGCATCTCTGGCCTCTTTGGCATGCCTCATGGCGCCGGCGGCAGCATCACCAGCCTGTGGTTCAAACGCGTCACTTTGCTGTCACCACCTTTTGACCAGTGGCAGTCGACGCCTCACCTGCACGGCATCCGCTTCCAGGTTTCTGGCATTGTCAAGCTCGCCGGCGACCTCTGCGCCGACGTCGCCGGCCAGCACCCGCAGTTGTTTGGTAGCATCGTGAAATTTGCTGACATCGTTTCCAAGAGGCGGTGTGGACCTGATGGCTCCCTGGCAAGTAAAACATTTTTCGTCACTTTATGCAAAGTTTCGGGGCTCTCCTTTCACGACCGTGTAAATCCTGTGCGGCACAATTCTGCGTGCGGGGGGGTTAGCCCAGAGTTTGGTCATTTCTCAGATGAGCTTTGGCGGCCGGATCACTTGACATTTTTTTGGTTCGGAATTTAAGGCAATTTCCTGGACAGACCAAATATGAATGTTCTTTGCTTTCACCTATAAAATGGTAGTTATGTTGATCATTCTTAGAATGTAAGCCGCAGAAAGAAGAAAGAGAGTTGAAATCTTGAATCTTAGATAGTCAATGAACACCATCACTTTATGCTATGTTAGGTTGGTGGTGGTGCACCTCCAGACTGGGGATCAGGCTCTCCAGTCGATTGATGGACGCCATGGCCCCATCGGAGTCAGCGGACACGGCGTCCAGCAGGCCCCGTGTCTCTACGTTGTTCTTGGCAGCCCGCTGAATGGTCGCATTGATGGCAGGAAGTCGCTTAATGGCGGCGTCAGCCTGTGCTTGGCCGTTCGCAATCTGCTGGTCAAAGCCTGAGGATGGACAGGATGCCGTGAGCCATGAAGACGGACAGGACATAGGTGGATTTTCTGTGTTTGTGTGACTTTCTGTTTACCTCTCAGAGTACTGAGGGCGGTGTCCAGCTTGTTGGTGTTGCTGTTGATGCGCTGCACCGCCCCTTTGGTGTCGGCATACGCAGCATCCACTTTGCCTGTCAGCACACCCATGTCCTGCAAGGATCACATGACATCACGCTCACAGTCTACTTCCTGGCAATGTCCAGAATAAAACAGTAAATTGTGGCACAGGGCCATTCATTGATTACATCATAAAATCAGCAGTCATACAGAGGGCTGGATAAGTGATGCATCCAGGAAGTGCTACACTCTGTGAGGAAAGGATACAACATGTACCAAATAGGATTGCACAGGATAGAAGAAGACAGGGTTTGTAGCTGGGCAGTTCTAAACAAACAAGCAGCCAAATGGATATGAGAGGACTGAACAGGGTGGGACAGAACAGAAATAGGATAGAAGAGAAAAAGGGTTATGTGCCAGGCTGAGCTACCCCCCTGTGGGGAAGGGAGGCAATGAGTAGTAAATAGGACAGGACAGAATGGGATGGAACAGAACAGGTCAATATTAAGCAGGACAGGAGTTGTAGAAAGGGAATGCTACACCCAATGAGGAAGAGAGACATGGAATAGCAATTACGCCACAACAGGGTGGGGACAGGACAGGATTGATAGAAAATGATCCTGATGGAATTGACGACAGGAAACCCTGGCCAGTTGGCTGATGTTGTCACCAATCAGAGCGTGACATGAATTCCCCACAATGCTTCCTGACCTGCATAGCATTCCTGCCTTGGTCCAGCAGATCACGGACGGCGACCGTGTCCCGCCCTATGTCGTCTCGCAATGCAGTGAAGCCCGCCACGTTCCCATCGACGGCCTTCTTCAGGAGGTTCAGCTTGGCCGCCATGGCGTCCGTCTCCCCCTGAATGCAATGAGGAGGTCGAAGACGTATTAGGATGCAGAGGAGCCAGAATGTTTCATCTGGGCACTAGTTGTCTTAATGTGACAGAGTTGTACAGTTTACTTAATAAATGTTGAATGGATACTTTTCTCCTGACAATATATGGTACCTGATACTACAAAATAAAATCAGGACACAGGACACAGGACACAGGACACCCTCCCCTCTTTTACTGAAAATTTTAAACAGTGGTGGTTAATCTTTGCAGATGGCGGCACACCTGAAACTAGTTTCTAATAATAATACATGCAAAGATTAACCACTACACAAAATAAAAACAAAATACTGTGTATTTTGGTCCCCCTTGGCAAAGGTGAGGGACCAGACAAAGCATGACTCAAAGATCTTGAGCTCAAAGCTCAAAAAAAAAAAAGTTTGAGGACGATCTTGGAAGGCAGAAGATAGTCAGGCATTTGATGTTCTTGGTAGGGAAGGAACAAAATCAGGACAAAAACAGCCTGACTGACTAACCGTCAGGGCGGGTGGGATGTCTCTGGCCATCCTGTTAATGTTTTCCAGCATGCCGTAGGCCTTGTTACTCTCCACCTTGGCCTCGTCACCCACGCGGATCGCCTGGTTTTCCAAACCTTTGACCCGCGCCCCCATCCCGTCGTACCTGAGGAGAATGCGCACGCAATCAAAACTAGAGCGAGACGCTGCTCCCAAATGAACACTTGGTGGAATGAAAGGACAACATACAAAGTTTTTACTCCTCCAATCAAATCGTTGACACTTTTCCCTTTGGTGACAAGGTTCCGCATCAGCTCCAGACTTTTCTCGGAGTCGCCCAGAGCCTCGTTGGCGCTCCTCTCCACTGCCACCGCCTTTGTCTGATGTCTGATGACAGATCCACACTTAAACACCCAAACAAGTTTACCAAAATTGTGTTGATGAGTAGCTGTTGCACACACTTATCAGCCAAGCCTGTTGCAGCCTGCGCCAATGAGGAGAAAAGGTTTGGACCCAGAGGCGCATCTCCCGCTGGAAATTCCTGACAGGAATAACAAAAATATGTAAGAGTGGCTTAACATCAAAGTCCTTGTCCCTTCATTGTCAGAATTGCCACAACATGGCTGAATCCAGTCACCCGACACTTTTAGCCAGTCACCCAGAACCCTAACCCAGTCCCTTAACATGCGAATCTAGTCATTTGATGCCTGGATCCAGTCACCTAATTCCCCAAACAAGTCACCTAATGACAATCCAGTCCCCTAACACATCAGTTGAGTGACCTTGTATACCAGTCCAAATGTGACAATGTGGCGTGAGGTCTTACAGCTGTTCGGAGACCTGTCTTGGCCTCGTCCAGTTTACGTTTCATGGCCTCCATTAAAGCCTGAAGCAGATCCGCTTTGGTCATGTAAGTTTGTTGCCGTCGTTTGATGTCACCGGTGGCATCGGCCATGTTCTGGACATCCTGTTCCTCGGCCAGACGAGTACGGTTGATGGACTTCAGACTGTCCTGCAGCCCCTTTTCCTGGTCTGTAGGACATCACAGGCGGGATTTAGATGGCGCATGATGTCACAGGAAGTCCAAATGTCCGACACATGCAAAATAAGTGATGACGTCGCACCGGCCAGCTGCTCTACGTCAAGCTCCAGTTTGTCCGTCAGCTCCTTGGCCGCATTCAGCACAGCCTCCACGTTGCCGTTGTTGCCGGTATTGAGCCCGCCACCAATCTGAGAGTTCTGTATTTGCAACTGCTGAAGTTTGAAAGCTAATTCCTCCATCTGGAAATCGCACATGAAGAAAAAGGATGGCTGAAACGGCTCGGAGTGGCTTGTGGGGTGTGAACGATCCAAGATGATCTCTCACCTTGGCTTTGGCTCCATTAAAACAGGCGGGACACTCGCGCGATGTCTGACACGTCGGACCCTCAAAGCCTGGTCTACAGCGACATTGACCGTTGTCATCGCACTGTGCCGAATCGGAGCCCCGAAGATCGCAGTCACACGCTGCACCGCCCAAACACACGCAATCGTCGCATTATTATCAACAAAAAACCAGCATGTCCGCTTGGTTCAAGTAACTTACGTCTGCAGGCGTCGTTCAGGTTGCGGCGATAAAAGTTTGGCAAGCATATTTCACAGAAGCGGCCCATTGTGTTGTTGACACACTTGAGGCATTCGCCGCTGGTTCGATCGCAACTTCCCGCCACGCTGACGTCAATGTTGCCATTGCACTGGCAGGGGCGGCACAGCTGCCACCCTCCAGCGCCCCCCCCCGGCGAGCCGTAAAAA